TGAAATAATGGTGTCCCTTACATTTCATTGAAGCTGCTGGGTAGCAGCAGTGGTGGATGCAATCACCGGCAGAAGATCCCATTTAAGACAACAGCAGGAGTCTGCAGATTCTAATCAGTTGGATTTCTTCCTAGTTAGATGATACTGTGGAGCAGCTCTCAAGTTCTCTAGTCATTATACAGATGTGCATCACTGAATTAGACTCCTGAGAGCCCAGAGGGTATGTCAATGGCAGGCATGTGTACTGATGTACCTAAATCCCAGTGCAAGAATGATGAAAGAAGCCTTTTGGCAATGGAGTAGAGATGATGACTACAGGCCCAAGAAACTGAAAGCCATGAGTCTAAGCTCTACACATAGGTAGTCTGGGTATGATAGTCATGCTGTTCTGACTGGAATGACTACTCAGATATCCAGACAGCATTATTCAAAGACAGCATTGCATGCCTTTTTCTTTGAGGAAGCCCGTAGGAAAGGTGAGGTAAGTGAGCTTGCTCCTTTGAAAGCTGGCAGGCCTTCATACTAATTGGTTTGACAAAAGTAATTCAGAAATCAAGAAGCTCTCAAATGCAAGACACAAGATCGACTGAAAAAAGTAAGAAGAGTCAAGGCAGAATTACAACATAAAGTGAGAAATATGAAGAATGAGTGGTAGAACAATAAGACTGAGCTCCAATGTCTTGCTGATATGAACAACATGAAGACATTTCATGCATAGCTAAATTCAGTGTGTGGAACTACATCCTAAAATGTGGCTCTGACCAAGAATACTGATTGTTCTCAAATTCTCATATCCAAAAATGGCATTGCCAATTGTTGGAAAGGGCACTTTCAAGACATATCAGATCACCCATTCACAGTAAGTGTCAATGCACTACAAAGTTTGAAGAAATGCCAGTCTAAGAGGAGCTAGGAAGCATACCAACTATGGCTGAACTGTCAAGCACAATTAAAGGAACTAGAAAAAGGGGAAAGTTTCAGGAATGGAATGTGTTCCACCAGAAATCCTTAAACATGGTGGCACCACTTTCTAAAAACAACTGCTAAAATTCTTTAATGATTGTTGGAATATGAAAAAGTTTCTTAAGAATTTAAGAATGCTATTATTATCACCATCTACAAAAAGAAGGGTGACCACATAGAATGTGGAAATCACCTGGGTATTTCTCTCTTGACTATAGCTGGCAAAAATGATCCTGAAACACTTGATGTGATATTCATGCTGCACCAAGTACAAGAAAAGATGCTCAAACAACATTAGAGTCTCTACTCTGTCTTTGTTGACTTTACAAAGACATTCCATTCAGTACACCAAGGAACATTATGGAAGCTGTTGTTGTGCTTATGTAGATGCCCTGGCAAGCTGATGAAGAGGATAAGAACTTTCCACAATGACATCAGTCTCTGTTGGTGGTGAGAGAAGTGAAATATTTGATGTAAGTCATGAGCTAAATCAGAGGTGCATCCTAGCTCCAGTACTATTTGCAGTATTCCTCACTGCAGTACTAAGATTAGTAAACAAAGAAAGCTGAAATGGTATTTACATTTGAATAAAAACAGATGGTGGCCATTTCAACCTTACACTGAAGACAAACTGTGTAGTTTGTATAAAGGAACTTCTTTTTTTACCGATGATGCAGCCCTTGTTGCTTCCAATTTCAAAGATATACAAAGAACTCTCAATATCTTTAATACAGCTGCCATAAAGATTAGCCTTTCCATCAATATAAAGAAAACTTGTACCAGGCACCACCTAACACTGTGATATAAGGATGTTCTGAACTTGTGCAACACCGACCAACTTGAGAAGTAATGTGACAGCTGCAATAAAGACTGGAATTAAATGGAAAGACAGTACCTCATAAAGAGGAACAGAAGACATAACCCCCTCCTGAATGTGGCTCTTACTGCTGCAGTCAGTGTGGCCAAATATTTTGGGTCCCACATAGGGCTGATGTTGCATGTCCAGCACAAGCACCAGAATGTTTTCCACCAATCATCATTAACCCCAACAGACAGCCGATAGTAATAATTACTATATAACAAAGAGTGAACATTTTCAGTAATAAAAAATATGAAAATCATTTAATCCAAACATGTATCCTACTTAATGTGGAAAATGCTTAACATGAATGCTGATCATTAAATAATATGTATAATCTACTTAAAGTGGAAAATGCTTTGGCTTCTTAACATTAAGCCATACATACAACCTACTTAATGTGAACTGTGCTTAATGTGGAAAAACCTTAACATGGCTTTTTAAGTGATCTTTGTTGTTTTTATTATTGAAAATGCCCAATATTTTTATATAGTAATGGGAAGTTCTTCTCTTGCATTGTGCAGTGAATATTTCAAATTTAAATGCATTAAGCCATGTTAAACTGTTCCAATAAATATTTCAAACAATTTTTTCATCTACCTACCTTCCTATCCAGTCTCAGAATTTGTTAAAGCTGACTTAAATTGTTTTGAAAAATGTATTTCAAAAGCCAGTGAGATTCATGTAGATTCCATCAGTGATTGTAGGGGTAAGGTGTTTCAGAGGTACCATTAAGGATTAAAATATTTCATTTAAGAACTTTGGTTTTCTTTCATTTTTGTATGTTTTTAAACACCTTAAACTGAAACACATGATGTTATCAAATGTTCTGCAGTATTTAACAGCCTTTAGTTGTTTCTCTAGATGTTTTTTTTTATAACAGATATAATTCTGAAATGTGGTTTATTTATCCTTACTTTTTTCTTCAAAACACTTTTAATAACTATTGCGGTTTTCTGCATTAACATCAGTGATTAGTGTATTTTGTTATTTTGTATTCATTTGAACTAAGAGTGAACAAGGCAAGCACTTGAATCACCTTTCTATTCTTAGTGTACTAACCTGAAAGTGTATCTTTGGATAGGATAGCCTTAGTAGTAAAAGAAGCAGTTTACCTGGTTTACTTTCATTATATACACTATAGATATATGACAAGTAAAATATAATAAGCTAAGCTAAAGATAAATGTTGGGAATGTGGTTTATAAGTTTGGTTGTACAACAGTTTATTCTACCATGTAAATTTTACCAGAAACTGTTCTTTGTGTATATTCAAATATTTGTTCTTACCATGAAATACTTCATATTGTTCATTTCTAGGCGCCAGGGAAAAGTAAACCATTGCAGGATACGGTCCAGACAGGAGCGAGGCCAAACAAAATACTACCTTATAGACACAGTGGCATTCGACACACTATTTAGCCTGATTACACATTACCAGTCGCATCCTCTTCGCAGCCCTGAGTTCTACATGTGCCTAAATGAACCCGTGCCACAGCCAAATAAGCATGAAGGCAAAGAGTAAGAATGATACTACCCAAAACTAGTTTAGCTCATCCCTTTGTCTTCATGTCATAGAAAAGTCTGTAATACCTTGTTATGGATCAGACTTAAACCTTGCTATTAATTGAAACTAGAAACAAATACCAATTTCCTTAAATTTGATACTTCGATAAGAAAGCAAACAATAGTAGTAGGGTTTCTGATTTGGTTTGTTTGGAGATTTTGCATTATAGTTTTGTCTATACCTGAGAAAGATGGCATCAAAAACCAGAAATAGAATGTTAAGCAATATTAGTAAGGATGCAGTGTAAACTTGGTAATTATTACATAGCATGAAATAATTTCTAACTTATTTAGTTGTTGTAAAGTATTCAAGCTAAACAATTTAATTTTTAGTTGCATGAGCTATAATTTGTGATTCTGATATTTTGTTTGGTAAGAATTCATTTTCATAGAGCATAGTATAAACTTATAAAAAAAAAAAAATTGTTCTCTATTACATTTTAACTTGTCTAATTTAATATTTTTAGGGGAGTTGTAGCAGAAGTAAATACAAGTTAGTTTTAGGATCTTGGCTAAATTTGTTTTAGTGTTTGAAGAATTGCATAAATAACAATTTTGTTTTTTTCCCAATCAAAAGGCAATATAAAACATAACATTTTATGTAATTTTGATGAAGGTGGTATCAGCCCACTATGACTAAAGCCCAAGCAGAAGACATGCTGAAAAGAGTTCGATATGAAGGGGCATTTCTTGTCCGACCTAGTGAGAAAGAGGATAACTGTTTTGCGATATCCTTCAGGTAGTAAAACATCCATAAAATTATATACTTACTTATTACATATAGCTATACCTACCTCGCATGACTTAGGTTTTGGTTACATTTTTCTGTATTTATTACATCTGGTGGAATAAAAGCTTTTATACTCTAACACTGTAAGCATTCTATAATTGCTGTAGCTTCTTGGTATTTTAAATAAATTATCAGTTAAATGTTTTTTGTCATTCATATGGTAAATTTTATTTTAAATTTAGTAAAATTATTTGTATTTTGTTTTTTTTTACATCTTAAGTTAAACATTATTCTCCATTACATCTTAATGTAAAACATTTATTTGTTTTGTGCTCATCTTGGTTAAAGCAGTCATAAACATATTTGTTAACATTGTAAATGAAAGAGTTGTAAATTATATATATATGTATGCCCTATTTAAGTTGGCTTTGAATTTTTTTTTATATATATTCTATCAAAAACTAGAAAAGGAATTTTCTCAAGCTCCCATTCTTCTGTTGAATTGTCTTCTGAAAGTATTTGCATTCTGTACTGTTAAATAAAATGATTTGAGTTATTTAGAATGAACATCTCTCTCTCTCTTTTTTTATGTTACTTAATGATGGAGACAAAATAAGAGATTTAAATGTTTTATTGTTTTCTTTGACTCTTGAGATACACAATTACTTAAAGAATTGATTACTGAGTTCACAATTGTTTTTAGAGCAGAAAACAAGATTAAACATTGTCGTGTCAAACAGGAAGGAAGGCTTTTTATCATTGGAACAACCCAGTTTGAAAGTTTAGTTGAACTGATCAATTTCTATGAGAAACATGCCTTATATAGGAGGGTAAAGCTTAAGTATCCAGTTAATGAGGAGGTGGTACAGAGGATAGGGGCCGTAAGTATCTCGCAGATACTTCTTGTTGTTATTGCAAATAATGTTATTTTTCTTTTACTATAATTAATAACACAGTACTGTTTGACATACGTCTTCTGACATCACAACTATAAAGGGATTATTTAAACAAAAATATAATTAAGTCGTTTTGATAGCTTGTTAAAAACATTAGTTTTTCATATTTAGTAATAGTGGGGTCACATGTTCTTCGTTATCGTCAATTGTGGTAGTTCTTTTGGTGTAAAATCTTTTGAGGCCAAGCCTCGGAAGATTACTGGGGGTGCTCAGAAACTTTTTAGATCCTCTTCATCCCGTTCTTAATGTAGATGAAGGGCTGAACTTGATGTTTGAGATATTGGCATGAAGTGAATTTGGAGTTCTTCTCGAAACAAACGGCCTTTGTAGGACTTTTGGTTCTTCAGGGCAAAGTGGGATCTAAAAATCCATGGCTAGAATTAGATGTGATCAGGTACTGGGTCACATGTTGCATCATATTGAGTAATTTTGCCTTTTTGCTTCTCAAAACACTCATTGTAAATAACTGACAAAAGAATTGGGTGAAATCATTAATTTCTGTGTAAAGTATATAGGAAATTCCAGCAGTAGTTAATGGAATTAATTGCAAAAAATTGATAATATTTTTGTTTACATTTTTGTGTTACTCGTGTAATTAGGGAATCTAATTATGCAGTTTAGTGCATAAATGAGTTAAAATGTATGTTAAATAAGCCAAGAGGTGTCAGTGTCAATCTCCATCAGTAATTCTGGGGTTAATTTTGATAATTTACAAAAACTAGAGTAAGAGTGAACTGTATTTTTTATGTTTAATGAGTAATCTCTTTCTGTAAGTAACGGTACTTATATTTTTAATTGAAATGAAATTTCTGTAAAGAAATAATCAAATTGTAGGAAAATTAACATTTGATCATACTTTAAGGTTATTGAAATATCCTTCTAAAAATATTTTACACTCGGGTAGTTCTGTTAAGTATCAATGTGCTTTAAATTAAATTCAAAAGCACAAACACAGAGGGGATGCTTCACATTTCTGTAACTGAGATCTAACTAGATAAAACAACAGGCTCCATTACTGAATACTAACAACCAAGATTCACTAATTAACCCTTTTTCATCAGATAGGTCAAAGTGCACGTCACAACCTTTTACAGAGTTATATTCAAAAGTTAATGAAACTACTTTACTATCAGTGTATACAAATACGCTTGGCATCAAAACATAGTTAATGAATGAAATTATAATATTAATTTTCTAAGGAAATATTTTAAAATATCCTCAATCTCCCCAAGTATGAGAATTGTAACATTTGCTCTTTAGTTCTTTCCCCTCCTCTGATGTATTTACCCACCCCTCTGAGAAGTACGGAATTTAACATATACTAGTCTTTATAATATAATTACTACTCAGGCAAAGCATAATTTTTATAGCTTTTAATCATGTTTAGTTTCAGAGCTATAAACTAGAAAATCCTCCTGTCACATCCTCTCTTTCACAACTTGCTAACAGTTCCTTGTTCCCTCTGAGTTTTATACTGTATTATTTATAAACCAATAGAAAGCCAAAGTCTTAATCTGTCAAATGATATATTATATTACATTGTTTGCAGTACAGGGAATTGTCTATTTTGCTTGCAGTTCCAACTTTTATTCCCAATGAAATACATCGATGGGCTTAGCTGAATTTTTAATGGCTCTTATTGCATAGTTAGAAAGCCAAAAAAGTATTATAGTTATAGGACATTGTCTGGTTTTTACATGTTATTATTCTGTCTTCTTAGGTGCATTATTTAATTAAATAAATAAATTATTTATTGTAGTAGTTCCATGATATAAGAAAGTAGGGTTAAGTTTCATCAAGAATAGAAATAGCCTACATAACAAGTACACCCCTTTGGTAAACAAGGGGGTTAATAAAAGTGATATAGATGTGTAAAAACTGTTTTGGAGAAATTGTAGGAGTTTTAGTGAAGTTTCAGATATTCAGTTTGTTGTAATCTTGCAAATAGTTTCAACAAAATGCTAAAATGTCTCGTGAACTTTGCATTAGTAACCTATTGTTTGTCATTTTGAAGCACACTTGATAAAGTTACATCTGTATTTTTTACACTTTATATAATGGATAGAATAAAGCTTGCTGTGATCTAGTAAACTCATTGTGTGGAAGTTTATGTGCTATAAGAAATGTAAGCATTTTATTACTTCACAGAAAAAAAATACATGTAACTTTCCATAAGCAAAATTAAAATTGCTTAATAAACTTTACTTTTAAAAAGTTGTAACTTTGAATATAGCTACCTTTAAAGTCTTAAACATTATGAAATTATATATAGTTTAGGTACAGATTGAAATATCTTGAAGTGTAATTTAACAGGATCCAGAAGAATCAGCTGTCTATGGACCAACGGGACTTTACATGGATCCAAACACTTTTACCTCCAAGGTGATTTTTTTTCAGTTGTTTATGTATAACTGGTCAGATAAAGGAATGAAAATAAAGCATTTAATAAATATCTGTAGCTATTAATATTATTAAGGCATTCAACTGATGTTTTTTGTATCTTTTATCATTTTAAAGCTTTGATATCATCACTTCCCACATAATGTCCATAGTGTATCATATGTATTATCTAATAAGATTCTGTTTCTCTGTATTCAAATTAAGTATACAGTTGTATCCTTTTTCTTTTTCTAGTATTAGATATATTTAGATTAGCTATTTGGACATACACACATAGAGATGAAATGTGTGTTTGTTTGCACCCTAACTCCTCCAAGCCTATTGGGCCAATCTCAACCAAAATTTGTATGTAAACACTATGAGATATGGGGAATGTCCTAAGGGGGTCAAAATTAAACTTAACCTTATCACTACAGGCCTTCCCATGGTCAGTGGTCAAAGAGCATGTTATCACATTTGTAGACTTACATTTAAAAATTTATTGAACTGCTGTTTTTTGAATGTATGTCAATAGGTTTGGTATCAAATTGTAATTATAATTCAAATTTTAGTATTATACATTACCTAATTTTTTAATTAAAAGTAAATATTAAAAAAAAATTCTAAATATTGATTTTTGTGTGTCACATTGTATGTTGAATGCAGCATTGGTTCAAATTAGATGTTTGTGGTGTCCAAACACAAAATCTATAGGCTCTTACAAATTAGATACTTAAATTACCAATAATAACAAGCTAGAATGTAAAATAAAAACCTCCTATCTTTTCTATTTTCTGAGATATTAATATATTTATTGAATCAACCAAGTTGGCCCCACCCACCTCTTCAATTTTTGAAAATACTTGCTCACGTACACCTACTTCATCCAGTGATGTGTGTATAACCAATTGAAAGCTAAGAATGTTCCCCTCAGCCTCTGTGAAGTATTTTATCTGCAAACTTTCTTTTCATGCTAGATTCCAAGCAGTAAGGTAAGACATTAGTGAGCTCAAAATTTTATATTTTTTTAGACCCAAATACAGCTTAGTTATTGAGCTTGATAAATTATATTGGAATTCTGTGGTATTGACATAGTAATTTATGATATTTGGTTATTTCAAATTGTATATATAAATCTAAAAAAATTTTGTTTCACATCCTCCACATGGGAAATTTGATAAGGCTTAGCAACTTATGGCAAGCAGCAAACGAGTACAAAGTTCATAACTAGAAGAGATAATTGTTTGCTATACTTTCTTTATTTACTGTTCTGTATCTTAAGAAAAATAAGTTTTAACAACTTATGTGTAAATAGTAATAATGTATATACATATATATAATGTATTATAACTGAAACGTGACTACATTTTACAAATTACTAGTCCGCTAAAGCACAACCAAGACAAGTCTCTTTGTAAAAGCCAGTTTTATATTCTTGGATATGGTAACATGAGTGCACGTGTACGGCATCATTGCAACTTCTGTAATGTTAGCCAGGCATGACTGAAAGGTCAATATAATAAAAATAATAAATGTATATAGATATATAATTTTATGATATTTAAGCTATTTAGT